GCAGCCGAACTTCCCCTTATTGTGAACAAGAATAAACGGCATTCGTCGCGATAAAAGTTTTACGACAACGGAATCTCTTTTATGCTTCTTCTGTTCCGCTTCGGGGAACGTTACTTCGGAAGGAGAACGGTTCCCAGGAAATCTGTGAAAGTCCGTGGAACTACGAGCGAAGAAATGTTTGACTGACGTCTCCAGTGCTTTTCGACGCATCCTATTGGAATTAAACGCACGCAGGATACGCCTGACAATGCGGGAAATCAATTAAACTGCGAGGACGATGTTTATGCACGTTTCTACCGATCGCGCGTGGCGCAATTACCGTGTGGAAAAGCCTGGTGAAGAATTAGTATTCGATACTATTCACGAGCCAGTAAATTTTAAATATTGTATTCGATAACTTTGGAATAAAAATGGAAATCGATACTTGAAAAGGATTCGGTTTAAATTAAAAGTTCTTTACGGTGGAAAATAGGAAGAACGAATATATTTTCTCTCGCGTCAAGCCATATGGTATGGATGAGGGAAGCTATCACGAAAGTACTGTGCATAAAATCCGCTATAAATAATATGACACGTTAGCCAGTCTCGGTAATATTTGGCTGCACTGATTAAAATCAGACGTGCACGGAACATCCGAGACCCGTGGCGCAACGGCATAAAGCATATTCGTCGAGCGAAGGCTGGGGAATCAATTAAACCGTGCCCAAACACACGCCTGTGGATGTACGAGAGCGACGTCGTACATCGATACAGCGATTCCGTCGGGAAATGCATCCGAGAGACTCGTGCGTGAAAGAGACCGAGAGATACGAGAGAACGCGAAGGAACATATGTATTTGCTCGTCGAAACGGTTGGCACTTTCCTTGGTCTCGATTGCAGTTGCACCGATCGCGCGCTCGCAGATATTCTACGAGACGAAGCTCGCATCTCCGCGAGTGTCAATATTAAATTCGAAACCCCCCCGTTCGCCAAACTACCCCGGAATGTGTGGAAAAACATTCCAAGCGATGGCCAGCCGACCCAAAGAGGGCTCCCGTTGTTCCCCGTTTACGCTTCGGGAATTCCTTGGACCGGCCCTTTTCGTGGCTCCGTTGATCGAAAGAGGAAAGCTTAAAACAGATTTAAACATTCTCAAGAAGAGAAGAGATCGGATGGGTCAACAACTCTTTCTTCAGGAAACAAGAGAGCAGTTTTAAAAAGTCCTTGCACTTGGGAGAACTGTAGCAGAACGAGGTAAATGCAAGGAGAAGAGTGAAATTTGCTATTAAACCACCTCTAACTGCACGAATAACCTACCTTACAATTTTCTCCAACGAAAGAAAAAGTGGTGGAAAGTACTTTTCGTTAGTAAACAGTTTTCACGCAGCAGATTTTTCAAAGCTCGTGTACTCCCGGTTGAAGTATCATAAATAGAACAAAAAATTACGACTCGTCTTCGCGCCAGATGCAATCCCTGATGTTACGATTCCGAGGCACACCCTGTATATTTGCGTTTTTACCGATGCAACGAATTCTCTGAAATTTCGTCCGTAGATAGGAGTCGCAACGGCTTGAGAAGACGGGTCTCTCGCGTCGTTGACCCCGCTCCTCCCGCAAAGTATTCCTCGTGAATGCGAGGCCGCTATACTTGGCGACTGCACGATATGCAAACTACTGCTCGCTTACATGAAGTTATTACCCGTGTACGGAGATTGTGATGCCCGGTTCGCTCCGCGGCCGACTACTTTCCTCCAGTTTTGTACTTACAACCGCTCGAGTACTTTCTGCCAGAGTAGGTACTTTCACGCTACCGATTCGGCGACGTTCTTTTAACCACTTAAGGACCCATTCTAGTGTCTAGTCGCCTCGAAAGTGTCATAACTTTTTTTTTTTAACAGATGAAAAATCGATGTCCCTTAGAGGGGTAGCCTTCAAAGCTTTCTAATTGCGATCCAAATAATTCTCTATTTTAACTTTAACAGTTCACCACGATGCAATGGCAACTAAACGAACAGAGAAACAGTACTGCGATTTATTTATGTAGATTTCGTCACTATAAATTCCAAGTTCTCTGTTACAACCTTTAAACGCATCTTAATGTCAGTCTAGCTACAGATTCCAACAGCTCACTGAGAATTACAATACTATCGACACTGTTCTACCACAGTATAGTTTCTCGCCTTTTCAATTTTCAATTCCTGATTGCTATAAATACCGTATAATCATCTTTCGACAATGGATTCTATGACAACGGGATTGTCAAACGGCCTTGACTATTTTCTACACACAATGACAATATGACTTTCAAATGATCTGGACTATGTTCCAGACACGATGACAATGTGGCTTTTAAATAACCTGAACTATTTTCCATACGCAATAACAACGTGAATTTTAAACGATCTCCCTGGTTTGATTACTCAAGGCCATTCGAAGGCCCACTTGTCATACATTATTTCACATGATTATGTTAATAGAGATCTTTGTTAATTTCAAAACAGAGCAATTTTATCAGGATCCCTCGGATCAAGCAATTAAAAACGACTCCAAATTTTGACGTCAAGGATTAAAAACGGCTAATACGCTGGAATCTGTTTCAGTTCATCGCGTCCTAGATTTTAAGCCTGGTTTCGTTCAAAAAGCACTCATTCCGTTCGTATCATCTCTTTGTGAGTCAATGACGTCAAACAGCCGTCTTGCACGGGCCGTGCGGATCCCCGCGGACCCGAGGTCGTCCATCCACCAGGGAATTCCACGAGGACACACCGTCGGCCGCGTTTCCACCGAACGCATCGCGACCATCTTTCCATTTACAGCGTGTCATGATGAATTCGGTACGATGCCGGAGCAGAGAACGAGATAAATAGAGAGAACGACGCTACCGGCCAGGGACAGGGATATATTTGCATGGGCGAATTGGAACACCTGGATGCGCGTGTCCCGGTGAGAAATTGCAATCCTTCGTTTACACCAGTACCAGTTAATTCGAGGGGAGCGTCTCCCTAATCTACCGTGTGACTTTTTGAAAAAAGTTCGGTGGTCAAATTGCTCCAAAAGTGGAGTCTTTTCTTCTCACAGAATGTTTATTTGTATCGTAAAGAGAGTTGAACAAAATTGGTTTAGTAATAATATTTCTGGTGTCACACGGGGCGTACGAGAAATCTAGCTACATCGATGGTTCTCGTCCCTGCAAGCGTAATGGGGTTAAACGTTAAGGCTGAACGGAGAGCCAAATGCAAATACACCGGAGGGAAGAAGACACGAGATTCTGTTCGCCGACAGATACGATAGGTACAAAAGCGAAGCAGCTGGGTCGATGACGTCACTACCTGTCTTACAGCTCTCTGCTTACACCCCGGGGTATGGGTCAGTCTTGGACGGAATATGTGAGCTTCGTCCAACTATTCCAAGTGGCGGAACTTCATTTGCAAGCGCGGTGCACTTACCAAGAACGCGATACGCAGCCTTGCGAGCTGCGAGTTTCTGAAAGTATTTAACGGAGCGTACGCGGCAGAGGCGTTTCGATGAGAAACATCTTAATACCTTCGCCGTGATGTTACGCAGAAATGCAACAAGACGACCAAACTACCTTCTTTTGCACAATTTTCCAGATTTACGCGGGTATTCGCTCCAAATTTTCTTCGATTTATTTCTGTTAATTTATACAGCAAACCGTTTAATCGCAATAAATGAAATACGTTTAGCAAACGGGTCGAGGGCACTCGGAGGAAATGTTAATTAGAACGCTCAACGTTTCCCTAGTTTCATTAACACTCGGTTAAGGCGACTGATGCTTTTATGGTCGATATATTCCCGTGAACATTTTTAATTGCAACGAATATCCGTCGGTAATTCGAGCACTCAACGTTTAAGATAATTCCAAGCTCGTCGAATTGAAACGAGAAACGCGCTCGACCGTGCAAACGAATGGTTAATTAGTTGACGATAAATTCGAGTTACGATCGGTACGTCACGGCGTATCGTATCGCTGTGCCGCCGAGATCGATCGCGAGCTGCGTCGTTAACCGTTACCAAGAACCAATTTCATCCGTTGTGTTTTTGCCAAACTCTTATCAGTCGTTGCGCTTCGCGTAAACAAAGCGAGTCCCGCAACCTCTTCCGCGAATCTACCGCCGTGGCGATTTCGTGGAATCGGCAAAGTCCATTTCCGTTCGAAACGGAATCGTAACCATTTTCGAGGCGAGGGGACCGCCGAGAGATAAAAATGCCTCGGTCACAAAAGAATCGAACGGTTGAAAAGGCGCTCCCTCCCGCGAAGTTATTAAAGTTTCCATTAAGAGGGTAAACTTTCAGAAAATTTTCGAAAGTTTAATGGAAGAAGTCGGTGGGAACATGGAGGCCGTTTGTGACGGAGTTGAATGGAGTGTTATGTGAATAGACCATCTGGTCGGAGGGAAACGCGGAGAGCATTCTATATTCGACGCGGGGACCAACATTTGCCTAAGCAACGGTTTTGTTCTTTTTCCAGAAATATTTCATTTTTCGAGCGTCTCGCGTCGGTTGCTCCGTTTCGCCGCGAATCGCGCCTAAATGATCGTGCATCGTTTGCATCGGCGATACGGATCGACGACGGAAAGTCGAACAAAAGCATGAGAACAGCTCCGAAGCCGTGGCTTATCGCGTAACCTATCGCGAGCCACGTGAAACAACACCCGGACGTCGCGAGAAGAACGCGTAGAAAATTGAACGTATGTAACACGCTTGGCGATGAGACAATCGCGCGTCTTTCGATCGTAGGATCGCGTGTCGTCTGTAACCTCGATGACACAATCGGCAGAAGGCAGTGAACTTCTCCCCGGACTATTTCAAGCGGTCCGAGGCGCAGGAAGAAACGCGCGCGAGGGAGAGAAGCAAACCAGTTCACCGCGTAGGGCTACGTGACTTACGTAAAATAATACGGTTCCGATGAGACGAGGGACGCGTTCGCCGATGCGTCCGCGAGAGCGCGTACCCCGCAGTTTCGATCATTACTCGCAAAGGACAAAATTCATCGACTTACGTCAACCGCAGCTCCGCTCTCGATCGATACGCGACGATGTCGCTGGTCTGTCCCTTTGTTCCCTCGAGCTATCGTCCCCGACGTATTCACCATAAGCACCAAACAGAACTCAACGACGGAAACTCAGCACGAAAGTATAAGGAAATAAGGTCTTCTTTTGTTACGGCGTCGGCTGGCGAGAACGCGCGGAGGGGGAAAAAACAAGGAAAAAACGTCGAACACAAACACACGCGGACGCGATTCCGGCACCAGCTGGCGAAACGTCGTGCGCGGCGCCGCGCACTGCCGACAGTCGATCACTCCAAAAAGTTTCCGTCAAGGGCAAGGCTAGCCCTGATCGTCGATGGAACGGAGCATCTTTTGGACGCGAAGAGGCGCACGATTCCGGGCCGAGAACGGATGACGCGACGTGCCGCGCACGACCGCTCTTCGATTCAAGTTTTCGCGTGAATCAAACGAACCGACCGAATTGGAGCTTTTGTTCCGCGGCGGGAGGAGGACGCGAAATCGTCACGAACCGACTCCCTCGATGGACGCGACGATACTGAGGCGCCGGCGTGTTTATTGCCCCCCACCATCCACCTTCCCCGTCGCTCCCTCGGTGCTATCCCCACCACCGTTGCTGCTCTTTCCGTCTGTGCTAACCATGCCGGATTCTTCCCCCACCTTCCCTCCCACCCCCACTCGACCTCCCCATTCGACCCTCTCCTGCCTTCATCCCGGGACTCAGCTGTCGTACGGGTGTTCTGCTTCAAACGTTTCCCTCCTGCTCGCTCCTCTATCCCTAACCCTATCCGTATCTCTCTCCCTCACCCCCTGATCCGCTATCAATGTCCTTGTCAGCCGTTTCCCCCGCGTTCAACCTCTTTCGCTCCCTCTTTCGCTCATTCCTGTCGGATCCGTTCCTTTCTTCCTCGGGTGAATTGGAAACATAAACTGGGTCGTTATGTCCACGATGTCAGGCGTGTTTTGGTGGCTCGTTCGCAGGGTTTTTCGAGTTTTCCCGGGGAGGCGCGCGAACAGCACCGGACCCGCTCGTAAATACCGGGCTTTCGTCGAACCCGTCGTACTTAGCGACGTCTCGAAGCGACCGTTCGTGACAATGGGGGGATCGTTGGTCGATGAAACCCGACCGAGGGGATTAGCCAGCGAAATCTCTCGCGGGGAACGCGAAACCCGCGACGCAGCCCCGGCCAAAGATTCACCCTCTGCGAAACTGGGTACAACGCGGAGGCCGATGCAAATATGGACCATGTAAAAAGAGCTGCAAGGCTGGCGTACGCTTTCGAGGAGCCTCGACGACGCTCGGACGACTCCGGTCCGAGAATCAACGGGATTATTTTCTTCCTTGAGGTTTTCTCGTAGGCAACGGCGATAGAACGTGACTCTGTAGTTTTATCGGCTGTAATAAGCGTCGGATTCTCGATTCAGGAGTGGCATTGATCCACTGGTGTTATCCGAGCTTATACACCTTGAATCGTAAACGTTTCCCTTTCGTGCATTTAACCCGGATCATTCCTTAAGGTTATTCTAGGGTATTATGAACGTACGTACAATTCGTACGAAATTAACTGGACGGTCTTACGGAGAAAAGAGGATTTCGGAACATTGAAATTTGTGGAAGAAAATATGTTATCGGTACCGTGGCAAACCTTTCCCTCATCCGGCGGATAAAAGAGTTCCATCGTTTCGAATTAATCGTCTTCGTATGCGTCATAACCTATTCCGAACACGTTCTAACGGAAGCCGCGGTTGCGGATTTGCTGCCAACCGTAGGAGTCCACGCGCGGGTAAAGACTGAATCTCTACGTGCCAGAAAATATAGCGATCGTTTAACAGTAAATCGTCCGCGGTCGCATAAACTGCGCGGTTAATCCACTGCGCGCAAACGACAGCGGCCGTGTCCGTGTTAAAAATAATATTGCGCAATTATCGAACGTTTCTTCCTTTTTCAGAAGCGCTTAAACCTTCAAACCTGACCTTTTCTTCTTGCTAGCGACAGAGTCATTTATTACGGTATTCATTTATTAAGACCACCTGGGATGTGTGCTGTAATTATGCGGCCGGACTGCATGAAACCAGTTCGACAGTGAACGTAGCGATAACTAAAAGCGGTCTTATACACTGTGAGCAACTTTAACATTCGGACACTTTGCGATTGCTCGCTTTATAATCTTATCTAATCGGCACGACTCGTCAATAAAATAAAATCATCCCCGTTTCGTTAATTTTTCCTTTCGCGTGTTTTATTTAACGACTTTATTCGCCGAATAAAAATGTACGTAAAAGAACTATACCGAGCAGGATGAAACGACCAGGTACGACGAACGAGGCTGTTTTACTACCTAACCCAAACTTCCGATACTGTGCCTCGGTCATTTTCCTTCGTAATGGGAACTATCGCAAATAGTTATGTGCGCGAGGTGTACTTTATTTGATTTTAAGGAGCAAAATTACGATGTTTCGTCCCGAATTTACTGGACTCCAAGGCAAGGTTATTATAAGCAGATCCTGCCTTCGACTCGTCTTCCAGTTGGAACCTGTTTCCATACGCGGAGCCTCCGGATTGCGCATACTCTGAAGCGAGAAGGATCTGCCATCTAGTAGCTAAGATACGACTAAACGTTCGAACAGTCTTTCCGAAGATACCCTGATTACTAGGAATGGTTACGATTCACAGATCAAGTCCTTGATTCCATGTCTTCTTTTTCAAATTTCAAGCAATTGCTAGCAATAAGAAAAAATAGAAGAACTGTAACGATCAAGGGTGCTGTAGAATTTAATGGATCGAGCCATGTGTTTTGACATGGCTGAATTAGAGGATCCAGAGGCCGGCAAATTATAACTTGTCCCGGAAACAATTGCTAAGGCAAGACCATCGACGACACGTTGCGCATGCTAATTTGCCACCTCGGATAGAGGCGCAACTTTATTACACTCGCCTCTCGTTACGATGAATCACGAACAGGTTCTGGTTTAAAGCGGCGAATTTTAAATAATTCGCGCGTGTATTATTCTTTCGCGTCGCGAATAAGGGAACCAACGAATGCTGTCATCGGTTCAGTTTTACGCCGTGCAGTCATCCGCCTATAATAGAAACATTAACGGTAAACCGACCACGGTGACTAATCTCTCCTTATGGTTAAGATAATTGCCACTTAACGGAGGCAGGTCAAAACTTTCACGCGCGTACAAACTACAATATTCGGTTGTAAAGGAGTTTTTCTCCGTTGAAACTCGTTTAGTCCAAATCTCTATAATTCGATTTGTTCCATTCCCAGGAGATTCGAGTCGCCGAGGCTCGATCGTATGCTACAAACTATCGACCGAGATTTCTAGATCGGTACATCGGATAACGAAGGGTTAAACTAAAATTGGGGATCCGCCGAGGGGTTAAAATTCGAGACACGACCTACCATTCCCTGCGACTCACGCTCTTAATCCCGTTTGGAAACCACTGGCGCAGGATGAAAACAACGTCTTGGGAGCGGCGTGTGCGTGCGTTATTACTCCCACACATCGAACCGCATCACGGTCCCGTGCATTTAACGCTTATTGCCAGAAACCGTGACTGTGGTCAGTGAATGTTAGCGGCACTTCCGCGGAGTGATTCACTCGCGCCTCGCGTGAGTCGGTTTCGTTCATCGCAACGCGCTGGAAAAGCTGAACGCCGCGGGAAACGATTCGAAATTTTCTGCCCAGCATCGACCCACGGACCAATTTGTTTTACGAACTGCCGCCATATGTAATTCAATCCAATTTATCGACGACGTTCGCCGCGAGTTACAGACGCGATACACCGGGCGAATATTGCACGCGATCTTCCTTGTCCCATACGTACCGGAAACTGGTACGCGAACCAGTACACCGCCGCCGATTCGCCCATAAATAATCCGTTATCCAGCGAACCCGTAATTCGCCCGCGTCGGAACGGAGAAAAAGGCGGTTGGATTAGGCTGTAAAACGCTCCTATTCAATAAAAATTCCTCGGTATTAAAACGAATGTTGCCAAGAACGGACTTCCGGATCTCTTATTAATTTAAAGAATTTATAGAAAAAACACTAACACTCGAGAAACCACTACTGGGTCAAAGACGAGGACTTAATCTCTCCCCGTGCCTATAATTTTGGGACTCGTTGCACGTCATTGGGCCCGTAATGTGTTAACGCGTCCGAGGAACACACTGTCGAGGCAAGTTAAACTTGTCGAACGATTTAAAACGCGAAGGGAGCGTGGAACGGGTCCAGTTCGCAACCTTCCGACGCGTCATTAAACGCAGCGATTTATCATAATTTATATCGCGCTCACCGGGCTTAACGCGACGGTCATCCGATTATGTTATTACGAGCGTGGGCGTCGTTTTGATATACGTCTTCCCCGCGGTCTTCCAGCTCCTAAAATATGCACGCGGTGTGCCCGCAACGCTGTCGACGTCCCCCCTTCGCGAACGAGTCCACCCTCGAAATGTAAATTTATGCATACAAGCCACGCTTATACCTCGCGGTTGCTCATTAACCGTTTAATCGTGTAATTATTCTTCGAGAAGGATGCGGCGGTTCCCTTCCACTCGACGATCGATTCCTCGCGTTTCTCGATCGTCGGGATCCAGGATCTGGCGCGGGAAAAATCATTTGCTTTGAAACGAAATAAAATTGCTCGATCTCTTACCGGGACCAGAATATCGCGAAATACGAGCATACAATTAATTCGTCAAAATGCAAAAATAATAACTTTTGATTATCTTTCGTTAACCGCGACGGAGGTTGAAAATTATGGCTGCCAGCGACGATACAACGTTAGGGAAATACCATGCACGAGATGGAGACGAACAGAGTTAAATTAAAGCAAACGTTTGCTAGAAACGATGAATGTTACAAAACATTTGTCGTCCTACGCGCTATGCACATATCGGATTTGCTTGGTTCTCTTCCGGGTTTCATTTACTAATAATTAACAAGTGTTTGTATGCAAAACGATCCGTTGCGAGGAAACGTTGATAAAGCAAGAGTAAAGTTTTGTTTAGGTAGATAGAAGCGAGACTGGACCCATGGGACTTGTTACAGAAGATACTGGATCGATAAGACTTGACATAGTAGACACCAAACTTATGGGATCCGATGTGGATTATATAGGACCAATGGGAGTTGATTGCGTACACATCAAACCTGTGAAACTTGATGGAGATGATAATGGACTCATGAACCTTGAAAATGCAAATATCAGACTAATGGGATTTGATACAAACAATATTGGAGATGGATTTTGTAGGCTAATAACACTTGGCACCGTAGATACCGTGTAAGTGGACCTTACCGGTCTGATGGTATTTGACAAATTAAACGATAAACTATTGAAATTCGATACAAATGATATTAGGAATCGATAGAACCCGATACTGTAAATACCAAACATTTGGATATTGGTGTAGACAATATTGGTCTCGTGGATCTTGAGAAACTAGACACCAGATTAATGGGAGGCGATACAAACGATATTGGGGACAAACAGAACTTGA